TTATTTGTTTGTTTTAGTCAGAGTCTCACTCTGTCACCCAGGCTGGAGAGCAGTGGCACACTCACAGCCACTGCAGCCATGACCTGTTGGGCTCAGGTGATCCTTCTGCCTCAGCCTTCCAAGCAGCTGGAACCACAGGCTAATTTTTTGATTTACTGAAGAGATATGGTCTCGCCAAGTTGTCCAGGCTGGTCTTGAATCCCCAGGCTCAGGCAATCCTCTTGCCTCTGCCTCCCAAAGTGCTGGGATTACAGGCGTGAGCCACCATGCCTGGCTTAAAAAAAAAAAAATTTAAGATGAGGATTTAAAGATGTAGGAAAGTGTTGATTAGTTGCATGAAAAAAGTAAGAAAAAAAATTATAGGTATCAACATATTAATAACCATAATAATCACAATATTTATATATAATTAAAACTATTTAGATAAAATATATACATAGAAGAAAAGGTCAGATGGAAATAATTGTGAATTGAGGATGATATATTTTCCTCTTCAATCTCCTTTTACGGTGTAATTATGTTTATCCTTAGTACAGTGCCGCCAGTTGCAGGAGAGTGGAAATTGCGTCTACATCCTCTGTTGCAAGAGCTCGGGACTTGCTACTCACCATTCTGCTGTCTCTTCATTCTGCGGACTTGTAGGTATTCAAGCCAGGCCTTCAGGAATTTCTGCTTTTGCCAGTGCTGATGATGTTTCACTGCAGAGATCACTTTCTGTCTCTCCTTTTGGATATGCAGAAGCTGTTCCCACCACTGTGTCCAAGTCTGAAAACCAAGGAAGATAACAGTCAAAAGACAGGCGGGAAAACAAGAGTGCAGTCAAGTGAGCAGGGAAAAAACAGGAACACACACTAGAAAGACTAAGATTAGAAACAAGGGAAGTATCTCGGCATCTTCCTAACCAGAGAAGTGAAAGACCTTTACAATGAGAACTACACAACATTGCTCAAAGAAATCCAAGAAGACACAAACAAATGGAAAAATATTCCATGCTCATGGATAGGAAGAGTCCATATTGTTAAAATGTCCATCCTACCAAAGGTAATCTACATATTCAATGCAATACCCATTAAGTTACCAACATCATTCTTCTCAGACCTGGAAATGACAATACAGAAATTCACATGAAAACATAAACGATCACAAATAGACAAAACAATTCTTAGCGAAAGAAACAAAGCAGGAGGTATCACACTTCCAGACTTCAAACTTTACTATAAGGCTACAGTAATCAAAACAGCCTAGTATTGGCACAAGAACAGGCACACAGACCAATGGAACAGGATAGAGATTCCGGAAGCAAAGCCTCAATTCTTCAACCAACTCATCTTTGACAAAGCCTCCAGCAACCACTGCGGAGAGGAGAACCTATTCAGTAAATGGTGCTGGGAAAGTGGCTGATCACATGCAGAAGATTGAAACAGGACCCCTACCTACCACCATACACAAAAATTTACCCTAAGTGGATCAGAGACCAGCTACTTGGAAGGCTAAGGCACAGGATCACCGGAGCCCAGCAGGCCGAGGCTGCAGTGGCCGTGAGCATACCACTGCCCTCCAGCCTAGGCAACAGAGTGAGACTCCAACTCAAAAAAAAAAAAGTAAGAAGATAGACAAGTGGGACCTTATCAAACTAATGAGCTTAAATGCAAAATCTCAAACTATAAGAATCTTAGAAAACGCAGGAGATACCCTTATGGAAATTGGAACTGGCAACCAATTCAGAACCCTAAATGCCCATACCTTAAGAAATAAGATAATGCTGGGCATGGTGGCTCACCATGGTGGCATGGTGTCTCACGCCCAGCACTTTGGGAGGCTGAAGTGAGAGGATTGCCTGAGCTTACGGTTTGAGACCAGCCTGAGCAACTTGGCAAGACCTCACCTCTATAATAAATAAAAAACAAAATTAGCTGGGCGTGGTGGCTCATGCCTGTAGTTCCAGCTACTTGGAAGGTTAAGGCGGAAGGATCACCGGAGCCCAGCAGGTCGAGGCTGCAGTGGCTGTGAGTGTACCACTGCCCTCCAGCCTAGGCAATAGAGTGAGACTCCAACTCACCAAAAAAAAAAAAAAAGAAAGAAGATAGACAAGTGGGACCTTATCAAACTAACGAGCCTCTACAAAGCAAAAGAAACCATCAACAGAGCAGGGAGACAGCCCACAGAATGGGAAAAAATCTTTGCCAACTGTATATCTGACAAAGGCCTAACATCTAGGATCTACAAGGAACTCAAATGCACTGAAAGGAAAAAAACAAACAGTTCCATTAAAAAGTGGGCAAAAGACATGAAGAGATACTTCTCAAAAGAAGATATATAGGCAGCCAACAGACACATGAAAAAGTGCTCAGCCTCACTCATCATCAGAGAAATGCAAATCAAAACCACATTGAGATACCACTTAACCCCCGTAAGAATGGCCATCATTAATAAAACAAACAACAGATGCTGGTGAGGATGCAGAGAAAAAGGACCACTTCTACAATGCTGGTGGGAATGCAAACTAGTGCAACCTCTTTGGAAGAGAGTGTGGCAATTTCTGAAAGAACTAGAAATTGAACTTCCATATGACCCAGCAATTTCCCTCTTGGGAATATACCCGGAGGAACTCAAATCATTCTACAAAAAAGATAGCTGCACACATGTTTGCTGCAGCTCATTCACAATAGCAAAAATATGGAACCAACCATGTTGCCCATCGAAGCTGGACTGGGTTAAAAAAATGTGGTATATATACACACAATGGAATATTATGCAGCCATAAAGAAGGACAAATATATGGTCTTCGCAGCAACTTGGATGGATTTAGAGTTGATCATACTCAGTGATCTATCACAGAAACAAAGAACAGAGTGTCATATGTTCTCACTCATAAGCAGAACTCCAACAATTATAATACTATAAGAAAGGGAATGGCAGTGGTAGGAAACTGTCAGGGAAGGGGGGTGGGATTGGCAGTTGAGGGGAACTGCTAGGGGAGGGAGGGCCACACCTCAACAACAAGGGTACCTGCGTAACCAACGTTTGTATACCTAACCCTGAATTGTACCCCACATCTTTATAATTAAAAAAAAAGAAAAGAAAAGAAACAAGTAAGTGACAATCCGCTAGCAGGATCATAAGCTATGGGGACTTGGGGTGAAAGAATCTTTATAAAAGCATTCTGTTTCCAAAAGTAATTTTTTTCTGGATTAAAGAAAGACATCAACAAGGAGGCAAGAAGCACGAACAATCCAAGGGGTATACAATTAAGTCAGATTTGGGATAGGTGAGGGTCTGCCGGAGGAAACCTACTGTGAAGAGGCTCTTTCTCAGATTAGTTTCAGGGAAGCATACCTATGGAAGTTGAGGGTCTACAAGAGGATTTCCTCAAGTCTATCCATAAATGTGTGCATGTATGATCAGTGATAATGCATGCCCTAATTTGAAGACGACTTAGACAAAAATTTTGTATTTTCTTTCTTTTTTTTTTATTTTCTTTTTTTAGTCAGGGTCTCACTCTGTCCACTCAGGCTAGAGTGCAGTGGCACAATCATGGTTCACTGCAGCCTCAACCTCCTGGGCCCAAGTGATCCTTCCTTTTCAGCCTCCCACGTAGGGATTATAGAAACACATCTCCATGCCTGGCTAATTTCTTGATTTTTTTTGTAGAGTAGAGGTCTTGCTATGTTATCCAGGCTGGTCTTTAAACTCCTGGGGTCCTGCCTAGACCTCCCAAAGTTCTGGGATTATAGGCATGAGCCACTGTGTCCAACGCCTATTTTCTTCCCCTAAACCTGTAGTACCTCTTTTTCCTTCTTTCCTCTCAGTTGAATTACCATTCTTCCCATTTCACCCAGAAAATAAAAGCAATCAAAAGAGAATTTCCTCAAGGTCCCACCATGTCTACCCATCCATCTGCCCATAAGCTCTACCTTCTTTTTATCCTGCCACTCTGGATATACTGTCACTGCTTCTATCAAAGGTTACCCCTATATTATAGCTACATCCCATCTTCTCTCACACTGTCAAGTTTATCATTCTAGCAATTTCCCCTCTCTTCCTTCTGCATAATCAGTTTCCACTCTCTACAGAGATTTTTAAAATCAGTATATGGGCCAGGCACAGTGGCTCATGCCTGTAATTCCAGCAGTTTGGGAGGCCAAGGTAGAAGGATTACTTGAGCCCAGGAGTTCAAGACCAGCCTGGGCAACATGGCAAGACTTCATTTCTACAAAACAATCAAAAACATTAGCTGGGCGTGGTGGTATGTGACTATAGTGCCAGCTATTTGGGAGGCTGAGGCAGAAGGATCACTTGAGTCCAGGAGGTCATGGCTGTGGTGAGCCATGATCGTGCTACTACACTCCAGCCTGGGTGACATAGTGAAACCCTGACTCAATTTTAAAAAGAAAGAAAGAAAGGAAATTGTAAAAAAAAATATAAAACACTGTGACATAAGCAATGAGTGACCTTTGATTGGACTCTAGGCCAGACATGAAAATAGCAACAACATATAGTTTTAATACGAACTGCACATTACATATTATCATATCAGTATTAAATTTTTTAGATATAATAATGGTCTTGTGGTTAAGTGGAAGAATGTCCTTTTTGTGAGATACAAGCTTCAGGATAGACTTTATGCCTACAATTTTAAAGTGGCTCAGAAAAAATAAATATAAATATATCTATATACTTAGAGAAAGAAAGCAAATGTGGCAAGATGTTAACAATGGGTTGAACAAGGTGAAGCATACATAGTATCTACCTTTTCTGTAATTTGGTATTTGTCAAAAATAAAAAGTTGTGGGGGGGGACATTACTGTCACAAAAGTACTTCCTAAAAGAAATACAGAGCCCCTCTCTAGACCACACTTTGCCATCCAGCTATCACTCTAGTTCTTTCTGTTTCAAACTCTTCAAAAGAGCTATTTTCTAATTTCTTCCCTCCCAGGCAGGCTTTCTTGAACCCACTCCTTTCAGCTTACTGAAACTGCTCTTATCAAATGCATCAGTGATATCCATATTGCTCAGTCCAAAGGTCAGATCTTAGTCCTCACCTCCTCTGGCCTGCCAGAAGCCTCTGACAATGCCAACTGTTCATGACTCCTGGCAGAAATATCTATTTATATATTTATAAACTTAGAGAAAGAAAGCAATGTAGCAAGGCTGCATCTGGGTCCCTACTTTGTTCCTGCTGCTGACTCTAATCTACTCACCTCACAGGCACAGCCCTGGAGCCTCTGCTCTAGTTACACTCACTGCCTGTATTCTTTCACCTGAAATCCTGCCTTTAAATATCATCTGCCTGCAGAAGTCTCTTAAATTTACATCTTCTTCTGGACCCATCCTCAACAATCCACACATATATCCTGTTGCTTCCTTGACATCTCCTTGTGGACATTTAAAAGTCTCATCTGGAGGAAGATGTGGAGTTCAGAATAGGGCTCCTCCTAATCTTTTCCTACAAATCTGTTTCTCCAGCAATCTTCCCCATTTCAGTAAATGGCAACTCCCATCATTACAGCTACCTAGGCCCAAACCTTCATATCTCATCTATCCATTAGTATATCTTGTCAGAACTTGAAAATATATCCAGAATTCAACCACCATTCTGCTATCATCCCTGCCCAAAATCTCACCTGGAAATTTGTAATAGCTTAACTGTTCTCCCTGCTTTTATCCTCGATCTTCTCTGGTCTATTCTTAACACAACAGCCAGAATGGTCCATTTTGGTTTGCTTTGGTTATATCACGTAAATCTCTCCTTTTATATTATTTCT